GCCAGGGGTTAAAATTTAAAATGGGTTAGGGAGAAAATAGAGAAGTGGAAGAAGAGGAAGAGATTAGAAGACTGGAGGACAAAGGGGAATCTCATTAACTGGGAAATAGGTACAGAAGATAGGAGGGAAAGGAGGAAGAGATAAAAAGAGGAACTGAATGGAACCACAGCCACCAAGAGAGCCTAGACACTACTTCACCCTCACATAAATACAAGTTGAAACAATGGAGAAAGATAAAGTGGGGGGGGAAGCACAACAAAACAAAGAACTTACAAAACAATACCAATACCAAAAAAAAAAAGGAAAACTACTGCAACAACAACAAAAAACAAGATAGAGAAGAAAATAAAGTCCACTTCCAAGTTTGTCCCTGCTGTCACCGGTAAACAACTATGGAGGCAGCAACTGATCATTGTTGATTTATCCCAAAAAGCCAGCAGCCCTGCACCCTCTGGCGGCTGGCTGTCAGCACACCTCCAGAGCCTGAGCCCAGCTGAGAGCCTTTAGATGGAGACAGCAGCCGCTCTGAGCTCCATCAGTCTCCTTCCAAAATAGTTTCCCACCAGTGTTGGCAGGTTTGGACCACTCCTCTTGCAGTATTTCCCATCTTGGAGAGAAGATACCATGGGTACCTCCTCCTTCATTGAGGTTTCTTTCTTCACCCTCTCCTTGGGCTCAGTTCCTTCCTGGGTCCAGAGGAACTTGGCTTCCTCCTTATCTTCTCCACATTGCTCAGTGTTTGGATGGCAGTACTTGCAGAGGTTCATTCTCTGCTGCTTCACACTATACAGTCTTGCTGCCTGTCTCATTTTATTTTTCTATTTTAGGTGTTTGTTGGTTTGTTTGCTTTAGACAGAGTTTTAATATGCAGTTCAAGCTGGCCTCAAACTCATAGCAAACCTCCTTTATCAGCCTCTAAGTGCTGGGATTACAGGCTTGTGCCACCATGCCTAGCTATGTTGTCATTTTAAATAGACTTTTTTCCCCCCGACATTTCAGTTACCTAAAGTTCTTAGAGGTTATTAACACTCTTGTTTTGTTGATTGTCATATTTAGAGGCTTATTTCCTAGTGACATATGTGATTTTTGTTTGTTTCCATAAACAAGACCTTCATTTTCAGTTATTTTTATTAGAGCTTTAATCAGTGCTTTGTCTGTCTCTTGCCAGCTGTTTTGTATTTGCCTCTGTCAGGTGCCAAGGAATATTGTTAACCTTGAGCTTACTTAAATCATTTGGGTTTGGAGAATCCTCGCCTCACAGGCAGTCTAAATGGGTATTCTGAATTCATTGAGGATGAATTTATAATTTTAAAATCTCTTGCCAAGTGTGGTGGCACACGCCTGTAATTCCAACACTTAGGAGGCTGAGGCAGGAGGATCACCTGAGCTACATAGTGAAACCCTGTCTCAAAAATTTTTTTTCACAAGAAGAAAATATGTAAAATAGGGCTGGGGAGATGGCTCGGTAGAATAAATGCTTCCTTGGCAAGTGCAGGGGCCTGAATTCAATCCCCAGTTCCACCAAAAAGAAAAAAAAGAAAGAAAGAAAAGAAAACAAAATATATAAAATAAAATCAAGGGTATTTTTTAAAATGTCAACAACTTAAGACAGGTTTTTAATCTGTTGGTACCAGTGACAGGAACGTTTTTTTCTTACCACTGAGACTATGGCCCTATGCTGGACACTGGGGATAGTATGGTTAAGATAAAGGCCTCAGTCCAGCTGTCTACCTCTTTCTGGAGCAGATCCTTATCTCCGGTTCCCTCTGAGCACTGTAAGCTAAGTTGGTAGATTTCTCAAGGCCAACACAGTTGTCCAGAGCAGCCCATGCCATCAGCTCCCTAATCGATGTTCCCTTGATTTTCAGTTCCTACTTAATTTTTAGTCACTGGCTCTTCATACCTTACTTTTTTTTTTCTTTTTTTTTTTTTTTTAACAAGGTCCCTTATTTATTTAAATAGTAAATTTATTTAGTAAACATTTTTAGGTATTGTAGGTGTTTTGCATTATTTGGTTTGTTCTGTTGCTAGATTTACAAATCTTTGAGCGCTGGCTCTTAGGTTTTTGAGGTTCTTCAGCTATACATCTTGTGTTATTTTGGAGGTGCTGTTAGTGCTAGTGATTGTTGTAGAAAGCCCCCTATTTTGTCACTGCTTGCTATACCTAAAATATTTACTCCAAGTAACATGCAACTAGTGTTAAACTTACTGCTTCTAATTTTTCTTAAGTTCAAGGTTTTGATTTTTATTTTTGTTGAAATTAAACTTGGGACCTTGTCCCACTTGCTAGGCATGCACTGTGCTCCTGAGCTATATCCCCAGCCCTAAGTTCATGGGTTTTTTTCACCTAAAGATTAATTATCTTTATTAGTCAAAATGATTAATCAAAACAGGAAAAGTACAGTTATGACCGTGTTTCTTACCTTCCTGTTTTGTTGCCTGTGTATTTAATCATTTGTGTTGCTTTACAACCTCTTTTCTTGCTGTTAATTAATTCCTAAAAGTCAGTTTTATCAGATGTCCTACCTGGAAATTTAGCTTCACATGATGTATGAATTGGTTAGTTACAGCTAACTATTTTTATACCTTGATGAAACATTGTATCTACCTAAGGACAAGACTGAATAGTCTTCAAGGTTTTGGTAAATTGTTCTCACATAGCCCTTCCGTGCTTTCTCATCCTTTATAGCTATAAACAGCACAAGAAAACCTGTTTTATTAGTCACTTCTAGAACTCATGCTAAAGTTAAAAATGAAAAAAAAACCTGTTCTATTTGTGATTTTTTTTTTTTTAATGTAGATATAAAGTATCAGTTGATATTTCTGGTGTTTGTTAACCCCTAGAAAAATAAACCCAGTTATAATTGTCTTTGAAAACTTGCTTATTTACTCAGGCACTGCCTGAATAAATAGAAAAAAATATTGTTGCCCTCAGGGAGTTCAGATTCTCTTTAGGAAAACTGCCAAAACTGAAATCCTCACATAAGTACTCTGGCAGAGGCCTCTATAAGAGGAAGTTGCTGAACATCAGTTTTTAACATTCCTAAAAGTATATTTGTAATCAAAAGGTCTTTTTTTTTTGGAACCGGGGATTGAACTCAGGCCCTTGTGCTTGCCAGGGAAGCACTTACCCCACTGAGCCATCTCCCCAGCCCCAAGGTAGTCTTTTTGTTTGGTTTTGGTTTTGGTTTTTTGGTACTAGGGATTTTACTCAGAACATTCTCACTAAGCTACATCCCCAGCCCTAATTTCATTTTCATTTTTTATTTTTAGATAGGCTCTCACAGAATTGCTAACTTTCTTGAGCTGGGCTCAAACTTAATGGTCCTCCTACCTTCTTTCCCAGAGTGGTAAGATTACAGGTATGCACTACCACACTTGGCTCAGAGTCATTTAATCAGTAAAGTACTACAGACTACTACATAAAGCACAATCATTCAGGGACATAGTCCATAGAATAATTTATTGATAGGAGGCTGTGGTGACTCTACTCAGAAGGCCCTTCTAAAAAGTTCAAGTTTTAAGGAATGAATGAACTCTGTGTGTGTGTGTGTGTGTGTGTGTGGTGCTGAGAATTGAACCCAGGGCCTTACACATGCTGCTGCAAGTACTCTACCACTGAGCCACATCCATAGTCCTTTTTACTTTTCACTTTTGCTCAGGCTAACCTCAAAATTGTGGTCTTCCTGCTTCATCCTCTCAAGGAGCTCCAATGACAGGCATACGTGACCATGCCCAGCTGAAACAAGTTTAATCTTTTTTTTTTTTTTTTTTTGGTGGAACCGAGGATTGAACTCAGGCCCTTGCACTTGCCAGGCA